ATGAACAGACACTTCTCAAAAGGAGACATTTATACAGCCAACAGACACGTGAAAAACTGCTCATTATCACTAGCCATCAGAGAAATGCAAGTCAAAACTACAATGAGATACTATCTCACACCAGTTGGAATGGCAATCATTAAAAAGTCAGGAAACAACAGGTGCTGGAGAGAATGTAGAGAAATAGGAAGACTTTTACACTTTTGGTGGGACTGTAAACTAGTTCAGCCATTGTGGAAGACAGTGTGACGATTCCTCAAGGATCTACAAGTAGAAATACCATTTGACCCGGCCATCCCATTACTGGGCATATACCCAAAGGATTATAAATCATGCTGCTATAAAGACACATGCACATGTATGTTTATTATGGCACTATTCACAATAACAAAGACTTGGAACCAACCCAAATGTCCATCAATGACAGACTGGATTAAGAAAATGTGGCACATATACAGCATGGAATACTATGCAGCCACAAAAAAGCATGAGTTCATGTCCTTTGTAGGGACATGGATGCAGCTGGAAACCATCGTTCTCAGCAAACTATCGCAAGAACAGAAAACCAAACACCGCATGTTCTCACTTATAGGTGGGAATTGAACAATGAGATCACTTGGACACAGGGAGGGGAACATCACACACCGGGGCCTGTTGTGGGGTGAGGGGAGGGGGGAGGGATAGCGTTAGGAGATATACCTAATGTAAATGACGAGTTAATGGGTGCAGCACTTCAGCATGGCACATATATACATAAGTAACAAATCTGCACCTTGTGCACTTGTACTCTAGAACATAAAGTATAATAATAATAATAAAAATAAAATACTATGGACATTAAGAGGAGCATAGCTGACTTGCTGGAAGACATTTGTCTTGAAAATTTGTAAATATCTTCAAATTGGTCAGCAAACATTTGGAAAGGTAATTATATCATTTATGTGAGCTCTAGTAATAAGAGCTGTCATTTACTTACAGCCCTTATTATTTGCCAAACTATATTACTATTAACTAGAACTTCTAGTCATATATTCAGTTTTACATATGTTAATTAACCTAATGCCCAGCAAAAAATACAGTTATTGCAGTTACTTCCACTTTTAAATATATTTCTACACATAATTCTATTTTATCCACAAAATGAGTACTGTTATTCTATTTTACTAATGAAAAAGCAGAAACCATAGTAGCAGTGCTGGAGCAGTGCCGGAATTCTGAATGAAGTCTAACTGACTCAGAACGTGTGTTTTAAGTAAGATTAGGGCAGGCTTCCTAACTTTCTGTTCCTGATTTCTCAAGGGGCTATTGATACAACTGTATCTCTGTTACTCCATCCAATCTGCAGATTTGAGTGAGCCAACTTTTTTTAAAACTCTATCTTTAAATGCAGAGCGAATTAAGTCATGCTGTTTGTTTTGAGTTTCTTTTGAGTTTCTTTGGTTGTCTCAGTGATTCCAGGGTATGGTTGGCTCAGAATATGTTTATGCCATATGAAGATTATGCTGAAGTCTTACTTGTTTACTTTGTTTACTGCTGTTCTAGTATAGCAGAACTTAGACACTGAGTGGAATTATTTTGTGTCTTTCTCTGCATAGCTAAACTGTGTTAGCTAGATCTCCACATGTTGCTTTAACACCCTCTGTGACAATCCATTTGAAATAGTATTTCACTTGTGTTCTATAACAGATTGCCTTTTTATTGAGGTTAGTTAACTTAATTTGACTAGGAAAGGAATGGAAAAGAGATGGTGGTTTTCATTAGCCAGATAGATAGTGACCTACAGAATAAAAACAGCGTTTTACATTTGTCTTACTCCTTTCTGTTGGCATACATCAATATAAGGTTTTGTGAATGTCTAGAATGTGGGCCTGGGTGTTTTGGATTTGGATGGGGCATAAAGGAAGGTGGTTGTAAATATACTACAGCAAATCTCATAATTAGAGGACTTTCCTTGGAGTGCTATTGGATGTTTTTGGCACTTCAAACCCACACTAGGGAAACGGGCCTTTGAATGGTGGTCTCTGGAATTAGACTTGCTGATTTAATTCCTGACTTCCTACTTATTAGTTAAGTAACCTTCCATTGGTGACATAAACACCTTATGTCTCATTTTTTCTCATCTCTCATATGGGATTAATGATATCTATCTTATAGGGCTTTTGAGTAGATTGAATAAGATAATATGTCTAAAATACTTGAAATAGTGCCTGGCATATGATAAATGCTCAATAAATGTTATAGGAATAAAATATTATGTAAATATATGATATCTAATATGAATGGGGAATATTTAATATATAAATATGGCTTCTGAAATTCATAGGATATAATCTCTCTACATATAGACAAGAATTTCTTCTGTAATCCTCACAAGGCCATTGTTTATTCACATTCTCTTTAGTTGTCCATTGTCATAACTTCTGTGTATCTTAGTTTCTTTAAATGCAGAATGAAGAAAAGACTATCTCATATATGTAAAGTGCTTAGCAAATAAAAAGTGCTCAGTAAATATTAATTTTGGTCAAGGGAAGGGAAGGGAAAATGAGAGATAGAAATGAGAGGGGAAAAAGTGAGAGATGAATTCTGAGAAAAGTAGAGAGAAGAAACTCAACTATTATCCTCTGTTTTTCATTTCCTTGGTCTGTTCTTTCTCTAGATTTTCCAAATTTTTAGAAGTTTTAGTGTATCTGTACTTAAAGTGGAGGTAACACTCTTCGATCTACTTCAGAGCAAAAGGACAAAGTGCAATTATCTTTCATTATATCATTTATAAACAAACAGGAAAGGAATTTTAGGTGATAATAAGAAATCTAGACAGCATTGTTGTCATCAGCTCAACACACCTTCTTCTGACATTTCCTTGGGTCAAGAATTATTTGATAGACCTAAGCTCTGAATAAACTAATGAGTAAATGAATGAATGAATGATGTGTCAATGAAAAAAGAGGGTTTTTTTTATATAAAATAGAAGCTATAATATTTTGTCTCACTTTTTCACCCAGTTCTGTAGCAGTTTTTCTTTCTTATGCCTTTGGGTTTCCATCTATCAGCCTTTCCTGAGCAAACTTTGTTTTAAATCAAGAATACAAAGTTGCAAATTCCAAATGAGTTTACCATTTGTCTAAGTCAGTTTGGGCTGCTATAACAAAAGACCATAGACTGGGTGGCTTACAAACAACAGAAATTTCTCACAATTCTGGAGGCTGAAAGTCTGAGATCAGCATGCCAGCCTGGTTAGGTTCTGGTGAGGGCTATCTTTTGGATTACAGACTGCTGACTTTTTATTCTATTCTCACATGGCCTCTTTATAAGGTCATTTATCTCATTCATGAGGGCTCCAACCTATTTACCTTCCAAAGAGCCACCTCCTAATACTGTTAGGCATTATCAGCAGGGTTAGGATTTTAACATGAATTTTGAGGCACACAAATCTTCAGTCCATAGCACCATTCAAATTTACTAGATCAGACCCATGTCATGATAAAGGTATTTGCCACTTAATATTCATTTACTTAATCAGACTTACTGTAAGGTTAAGTTTACTTTAGGAAAGAAGTAGAGGTTGGTTTTGTGGTTTACTGCCCCTCTTAGTCTTCTGGGGCTCATGCTCAGACTGTTAAGGAGTGTTGTTGGATGATCAAGGCAAGAAATAATTCAATCTACTGGTAAAAAAAAGTTACTGGTAATTAAGAAATATACCAGCTCTTCTTCTAGAATAAATGTCTGTTTTAGCTATGGATTTTTCCATCCTAGATTTATCATTATTAATGGTCAATATATAATTTAGGGCCCTAATCTAATAGCTTTACTTATTTTGTTTAGCAATTTTTGCCCATTTTCCTTCACACAGGTGATTTCAGTTACATAAGCTGTGTGTAGGACTCAGTATTTTTATGGGGAAAAATTATTTCCAAGCTTGTATATTGTAAATACACCAAATTTGTTTCCTTGGGCCTCCTTTGGCTTTGCTGTACTGTTTATTTTATTTATTATTTCAGGGAATTCCAGGATTTGCTGGTAATATTGGTTCACCCGGTTACCCTGGCAGGCAGGTGCAGTAACTATATTTAGACTTTTTATGTTCCTATTTATTAATACATTGTATTTCTGATTTTGAGAATTAATGTTCAAATAGTTGCTTTTATTAAATAATGAATAAGTCATAGAGAAATAATTTTAAAATCAAAGTTATAGAAACCCATTACAATTTTTCTGCAGAAAGTTTTATTTAAAATGGGAATGGGGCTTTTAAATATGTTTGATGTGATATACAATGGAATCTTCAAAATTAAAATGCCCAAGTGTTAGTAAGTTCTTAAAACAGTGCTGATTGTGATTTTACAATATTGTCACTGAACAAAATGAAGTAATAGTAAGAGTTAAGACTCTCTGTAATAAACATCATTTTTTAATAACATAGTTATAAAAATTTGAGAAACAGTATACCACTGGCAAACACTTTTATCTAACTGAATTCGGTTATTTGTAAACTGTTTTAAAAATTCATTCTAATCATTTTATATGTATTCCCTTATAACTTCTAACTTTCTCTACTTCATGTAGCTTAATAACAGAACAAGCTATCTTTCCTAAGTTTTCGTGAATTGATTACTTCTAAAATTTAACTAAATGTATAAAGTTACATTTATATCTTTTATATTCTCAAGAATGAGGGAAATAAATAAGCCAAAATATTTACAAAATTCCATTTTTTAGGACTTTAAAAACACTTAGAGGTATTCTGTATTACACTCTTACTCTCAAGTGAGAATATATGTTATATAAAAATATAAAACCTGAATATGTAAACATATGGACATTGATCTAAAGTTTAAAATATATTTATCTTTTTAAAAATTTATGGTAATGTCTTTTAGAATAAGTTAATTAGAAATATTTTAAAACAACACAGATAATCTTCCAATGAGAAATAATGTAATGAAAAAATTTTTTAAAATCTGACAATGTGTTAAGGTACTTTATTTATATATCTAAAATATATTTGTGTATAGATTATTTCCGATGGCTCTTTTGGTTCAGAAATTCTAAAATTCCTCAAACATTTGTAATCTTCATTAGTTATACAGAGTTCGGAATTCTATAGTTTTGAAAATGATACCTCTTTATATGCCCTTTTTATTAATCTATTTATTAACTCTTTAAAAAGTACTATAGTATGATGACGATGTCTTTTGTTTACACCAGGGTTTAGCTGGACCAGAAGGTCATCCAGGTCCTAAAGGTGCACGAGTAAGTAGGCATTTCCATTATTTTGTTAAGCATGCTTGCCTAAAAGTGGGATGAAATATATAAAACACTTACACTCTCTTAGTAGCTTTGAATTTAATTCAGGTGTAGCATGAATACACTTGCTTACTACAGTAGTTACTTTCACTTTTATGGTGACAGAAAACAGTCTCATTGTGGTAGGTTTTGCATAATTATTTTATATTTATTTCCATAGCATAATATCTGTCATGTTTAGAATGTGCTCTATAAACATTTGTAGTATTATTTATGTATGAATGGATACAGACCTAAGGAAGTCATGATGTAAAAAATATGAAGAGGTAAAGAAATTCATAGTGGTTCAAGGCTGAGATAATTTTATTGTACAAAAACTGTCAGGAGTAAAGAAATATCTGCAAAGAATGAAATAACCTTATTGTATCCAGAACATCCCATTTCACTCCTAAACCATTAAAGGAAATGTTAGCCATTTTTAGTCACTAAGGAAGCAAAATAAACGTTTCTATATTATATTGTATTAGTTACTTTTTGCATCACTATAAATACCTGAGGCTGGGTAATTTATAAAGAAAAGAAGTTTAGTCGGCTCATAGTTCTGCAGGCCATGCAGATAAGGCGGCATTTGCATCTTGTGAGGGCCTTGGGAAACTCAAATAGTCACAGGAGAAGGTGAAGGGAGAGCAGGCAACATCACAAGGTGAGAGTGGGAGTAAGAGAGAGAAAAACGGAAGGTTCCAAATCTTTCAAACACCCAGATCTCGCTTGAGTTGAGAACTCACTTATCACCAAGGGGATGATGCTAAACCATCAATGAGGGATCCACCCCCATGATCCAGTCACTTCCCACCAGGCCACACCTCCAACATTAGGAATCACATTTTAACATGAGATTTGGAGGGGACAAACATCCAAATCATATATATGTAGTGTATAAAATAAAAAATTATTTTTAAAATTGTTTATTTTTAATAGCCAGATATTTTCCAAAGTCTACATTTGTGCCTTATATTATCTAAAATACCTTTCGTTTTGTTTTGTTTTTGGTTTGAGATGGAATCTTGCTCTGTCGCCCAGGCTGGAGTGCAATGGCACAGTCTAGGCTCACTGCAACCTCTGCCTCCCGGGTTCAAGCGATTCTCCTGCCTCAGCCTCCGGAGTAGCTGGGATTACAGACATGCACCACCATACCCAGCTAATTTTTTGTATTTTTAGTAGAGACACGGTTTCACCATGTTGACCAGGCTGGTCTCAAACCCCTGACCTTGTGATCTGCCTGCCTCGGCCTCACAAAGTGGTGGGATTACAGGCGTGCGCCCCTGCGCCCAGCCTAAAATGCCTTTTAAAAAGAAGTTAAGCATAAGGTATTTAAACAATATGTGCAATATGTCTTACATTTTAAAAAATTATTAAACATTTCCAACTACTTTCATATGTATTTTATTCTTTTATTTTGCCATCGGCCCTGTGACGTAGAACAGGCCTATCATCTCCATTTTACTGATGAGAAAAATAGTAAGCTAAGGAACTTACTTGATCTGCCAAAGTTATAGCTGGCTAGAACTGGAACCAATGTCTTTTCACGTTTAGCTCTGACCTCTTTCCACTAGCTCATGTTGTCTTTGCTCTTGCATTAAGTAACCATATAATGAGGAAAAGTCATGTATTTTTTTTTTTTTTATTAGAAATTACACTGAAAACACATGTTGACTTGGATTTGGGAAGTAAGAAGAGATTAGTGGCCAAGAACATGGACTGTGGAGTTAGATAGGCTTTTTTTTTTTGAGACAGAGCCTTGCTCTGTCGCCCAGGCTGGAGTGTAGTGGTGTGATCTCGGCTCACTGCAGCCCCTGCCTCCCAGGTTCAAGTGATTCTTCTACCTCAGACTCCTGAGTAGCTGGGACTACAGGCATCTGCCACTACACCCAGCTAATTTTTGTATTTTTAGTAAAGACGGGGTTTCACCATATTGGCCAGGCTGGTCTGAAACTCCTGACCTTGTGATCTGCCTGCCTCGGCCTCCCAAAGTACTGGAATTACAGGTGTGAGCCACAGAGACCAGCCTCTTAATACTTCTTTTACTAGCTTTTTGACTTTTGATGTTATTCAATCTCTCTCTGCTTCATTTTTGTTATCTCATTATTTATTAAATGGTCACAATGAAACTTACTTTTCAGGTAGTTGGGAAAAATTAAACAAGATTAGCATTCTTAAGGTATAGGGCATAGTGTATGCATGTATTTACTATGTGGATTCTATAATTATTATTTGAATTTGAGAGTTTCTTCTGTTCATGAACTAATAACTCCAAGGAATATATGCGAAATATATTTGGCACTGTACAACTTACTCTTATTGCATTTCGTCATCTTGCTTCAGTGATCCATATAACTGTGTTCTTCTGCGTACCTTTTTTGCGTTGTATTATACATCCTTTTGTTTTTTCTTTCTCCCATTTGTATTGAAAATTGTTTTCTCGGTTACAACCCTCTTAAGTTGTACTTTTAGTTAGGTTTTCACACTTTAGTTAGGTTTCACATGTGGGAGTGTGATTGGAATAAGGAGGGAATTTCACATTCATAAAGGTTCTCAAATGTAGATTGAAAAATTCTTTTAGATTTAGGGGTATATGTGCAGGTTTGTTACATGGATATATTGTGTAATGCTGAGGTTTGGGCTTTTAGTGATCGTGTTGCCAAAGCAGTGAACATAGTACCCAATATATGGGTTTTTCAACCCTTGCCTTCTTCTGTCCCTCCCTCCTTAGGGAGTCTACAGTGTTTATTTTTCCCGTCTTTGTGTCCATGTATACCCAATGTTTAGCTGCCATTTATAAGTGAGAACATGCAGTATATTTTGTTTTCTGTTTCTGTGTTAATTTGCTTAGGATAATGGCCTCCATCTGCATCTATGTTGCTGCGAAGGACATGGTTTTGTTCATTTTTATGGCACTGTAGTATTCCATGGTCTATATGTACCACATTTTCTTCATGCAGTCCACTATTGATGAGCACTTGGGTTGATTTCTTGTCTTTTCTATGGTGAATAGTACTGCAATAAACATATGAGTGCAGATGTGTTTTTGGTAGAATGATTTATTTTTCTTTGGGTATATGCCCGGTAATGAGATTGCTGGGTCAAATGGTAATTCTATTTTTAGTTCTTTGAGAAATTTCCAAACTTCTTTCCACAGGGACTGAACTAATTTGCATGACCACCAACAGTGTATAAGCATTCCTTTTTATCTGAAACCTCATCAACATCTGTTATTTTCTGACTTTTTAATAATAGCTATTCTGACTGGTGTGAGATGGTATTCCCCTGTGGTTTTGATTTGCATCTCTCCGATTAGTTATGTCGAGCATTTTTTTTCATGTTTTTGGGCCACTTGTATGTCTTCTTTTGAGAAGTGTCTATTCATGTACTTTGCCCACTTTTTAATAAAGTTATTTGTTTTTTTCTTGTTGATTTGTTTAAGTTCCTTATAGATTCTGGATATTAGTCCTTTGTCAGATGCATAGTTTGAAGATATTTTCTCCTGTTCTGTAAGTTGTCTATTTACTCTGTTGATGGTTTCTTTTACTCTGCAGAAGATCTTTAGTTTAATTAGGTCGCAATTGCCAATTTCTTTGTTGCATTTGTTGCTTTTGAGGATATAGTCATAAATTCTTTGCCTAGGCCAATGTCTAGAAGGGTATTTCCTAGGTTTTCTTCTAGGATTTTTATAGTTTGAGGTCTTACATATTAAGTCTTTAATCCATCCTGAGTTAATTTTTATATATTAACTCAGTCAGAGGTAGGGGTCCAGTTTCATTCTTCTGCATATGGTTAGCCAGTTTTCCAGCACCATTTATTGAATAGGGTATTCTTTCCCGATTATTTATTTTTGCCGACTTTGTCGAAGATCAGTGAGTTGTAGGGTGCAGCTTTATCAAATGTAGATTTTTAGCATTAACTTCAAATCTGGTTAAAAAGGAAAAAATCGTAGAAATACACTCATAAGATAGATGTTTTTCACTTAATTTGTGTCCTGTTACTGGTAAATTCTAAATGTTATGCATTGTACATGAATATTTTCATGAATCATGATAAATTAGCTTTTCATTGGCAGTTATTTGATGATATTTTTTGGTATTAGCAGAAATATTTTGTCAAATGTAAACATTTAAAACACATCATAATTTTTAAACCCTTCTTTGGCATTTCTTTATGTAATAATGTGCTAGCTGCCCCCAAAAGTAAAAATATATTGAACCTCTCCCGACCCTCTAGTGGTCCTGCTGGTGACACAGAATTACTTCTAACCAGATCTACCCCCTTCAAACCAAAAAGCAAAAATGTGTGTTATTCTTTTTAATGTTCTTTGTTTCATTACACAGTAAACTCTAGTTTAATGGTGGTATTTTGAGAATGACCTCAACTCTGTGTGGTTTCTTTGTTTGGTACTGCTGACATCTTATTTCTGTTAGAATCAGTGTAATGACGATCAAGAAACCTCTATGAAACTCCTAAGCAATTACTTATAACATTATTGTATTTAAAATATCTAATTGTAAAATGTTCCCTTTACACTCTGTACAGCCTATGTTGGAGTTCTGACTTCAGTTCTTGAGTTACCAATTGATTATTTAGTTCACTGATAAGTATACACCAGTTAGAGTGTCTTCTTTTTATTTGTAACCAAAACTCCTGCTGGATATATTAAAACAAAAGTTTGCTGACTTTACACTTGAAGTCATCAACAGATGATTCTGAAAATGTACACAGCTTGTCATCATAATCCTAAATGCTCTAGTATCAGAAATACTTTCGTATGGTTCACTTTAAAAGAAACATTTCCCATTCTCCAGCTGCTTGACTTTCGAGTAAGAAAATTATAGATGTTTCGCTTTATTAAAGTTATGTATAAGGGAACACATTCTGTCTCTCTTTTCTTTCAGTTTTTACTTGTTCATACAATCTGTGGAATATAAGGCAATTTTAGGCACCTTTGACAAGGAAAAACACCTAAAAATGTTTTCAAGATGGATGATTGCAACTTTTTTAATGACAATACTTAACTAAACTCTAAGGAACTAAAATCTTCCAAAAGTTTTATTCCAGGCAACTTAGATATGATTCTTGAGACATTTATCGCTTTCTTTTTAAAATGAAAAAGATAAAATATGCATAACATAAAAAGTTCTATTTATAAACCCTCTTAAATTATATAGTCAGTGGCCTTAAGTACATCCACATTGTTGTACAACCATTGCCACCATCCATCTTAAAAACTTTTTCATCTTCCCAAACTGAAACTCTATACCCAATAAACGATTCCCCATTCTCCACTCCCAGTTCCTGGCAACCACCATTCTGCTTTCTGTCTCTATGAATTTGACTACCCTAAGTACATCATGTAAGTGGAATCGTACACTATCTGTCCTTTTGTGAGTGGCTTACTGCACTTAGCGTAATTGTCTTTAAGGTCCATCCATGTTGTGGCAGTTTTCAGAATCCTTCATTTTTAAGGCTGAATAATATTCCATTTTATGTATATACAACATTTTGTTTATTCATTCATCTATTAATGAACATTTGGGTTGTTTCCACCTTTTGATAATTGTGAATAATGCTGGAATGGGTATAGAAATGACATTTACTTTTTAATGCTTGAATTCTTCAGTATTTGTTATTATGAAAGTATTTACTCTGAAAAATCATCCATTCTGTGATTCAAAATAAGAAGCCTTTATTTAAATCTTAGTGAAAATGACCTACTGTATCTCTACTTCAATTTCTTTTATACTTTGGCTTTTCTCTGCATCCATATAACTACTCTTCTCTCACACCCCTATTTCACCCTCTGTCTGATCAGTGAGAATTTTTCCTATTATTTTCTCCTCAGAGCTTTAGTCTGTCTTTAAGACTTCAAACATATCTGTCCTTCAGATTTTTTTTCTCTATGAGCTTTTTCTATGAACCCTACATCTCGTAACTCCCTGCCATGATAATTACATTTGAATACCTCATTATAACCACAAATTCCAAATAACTAACAAAACTCATCCTCTTTATACCAAACTCAGCTTTTCTATTTGTTTTCCATATTTCTATCAGTGGTTATCATTTGCCTGTCAAGCCAACTGTAAACTTTAGAGTCATCTTTTCTCTTGATTCTTATAGATAGATAAAGACCTGTGTGACCCACTGTAATCAAAGTGAGTTTATAAAGTGAAAATTTGATTATATCAAAACTATGTCTAAGTTTTTTAATGACTCATGGTGTACATTGCAGACTTTCCATCATAACAAAAAAGACTCTTCATGATATGACCCCCTGCCACCCTTTCCAAACTCACCTCTTGCCCACCAATCACACAGACTATTTGCAATTCTTTGTAAAAGCTATGTCATTTCATTCTGATTGATTGACTGATGGCACATTGTTAGCCCTGCCTTTTCTTTTCTTCAGGACTTAGTTCAAATGTTGCTTCCTCAGTAAAGCAAAGCACCATTAATCTTCTCTCTAGGCAAAGTTGGTCATTCTGCTTCCAAAGTTCCCATTGTTTATTTGTCATATCACCTATTACATAATCATGTAACAATTATCATATGATATTACAATCATTTATTTGTATGACCCGCTTTCCTAATAAACTATGTACTTGTTGAGGGCACTGATTTTCACATGCATCTTTATAAACCCAGTACCTGACACAAAATGGCTACTAAAATAATGTTTGTTGAACCAATAATCTGGACCCATAATCCTTCAAATTTAGACCACTTAAAGAGCTTCTAATAGGTTTGCCTATATTCAGTGTTTCCTGTCATGGCTGTATGCTGTATCCTATAAACAGATTAATATTTTAGAAATACAACATAACATCAGTGCACTACCATACTCCCTAAAATCAGTAGCTTCCATTTGTCTAATATATAAAGTCTAAAATTTTTATTTTAAAATTTAAGACTCTCCTTAATCTAGCACCCAAACTACCATACACTTTATCTGTAAAATTGATGAAACGCGTTATTTCCCATAAGTGAGATATAACTAAGTTATGTTAGAATAAAGTGCCTTGCATTGTTATTTATATGTATCTCTTGTTTCTCAGACCAGATTGGAATCTTTATTAAGGCAGGATGGGTCTTACACATAAAACTAACATATAAAACCATCTTACATACAAAGCATGTTATATATAAACTGTGATCAATTACCATTTACAAACACTCTCCAATTGTTACCATTAACAAAGACTTCCTATTTTGTCTTTATTTACTCTAATTGCTCTTCTAGAATTCTTTCTCCAGTCTCTGCTTATTAAGATTTTACCCACTCTGTAGACCTATCTCAAGTGACAGTCTCCTTTGAAGCTTTCTTTGATTGCCTTTGCCTCCTGCCACATTTAAATGTATCTCTTCCTCCACTGTACTTCTTATATTATTTTGATACCTGCATTCTGTCTTAAATTTTAGCTAATTATATACATATATTTTCTGCCCACTATAAAATTTAGTGAAGGAAATTATTTAGGGTCATTTTTATTAGCCACCATTTCTTAAATTATATTTTATATTTTGTGTATTTTTTAATGGGAAGATTGATCTGTAACTTCTGGAAGAAAAGCAGTTAGGTGAGGGGAAGTTATTCACACTTGTAAGTCTTATAATTTCATGCTACTACAAATAAAATTTTAAGTACTTCTTTTTAGAATCATTTTTGGGGAGAATATTCAAATGAAATAATATACAGATTATTTTCTTGTTTTAAGGGTTTTATTGGCTCTCCTGGAGAAGCAGGACAACTGGGACCTGAAGGAGAAAGGGTAAGTCCATTCTCTTCAAATAGTATTTCTGAAATGATATACTTATGATAATGTACAACAGGAGTCATAAAATCAGATGTCAGGGAAGAAATCTTACTGAGTTACCAAGCCAGGTTTAAGAAAAATCAACTGCCAGAAATGTAATTTGATTTTTGAAATCTTACTGAATTTTGTTAAAAGACAGTAACATAGCATGATAGAAATATAATTATATTTTAAATTTAAATTTTTGAAAATACACGCCAAAATACTAAAATATCTATGAAATTTTTATTTTGTAATTCATTATCTTTGAGTATAAATTCTTGACAAGTCTTGATTTTGAGAGCAATATGTGGTAGAATTTAGCCTCAGAAGATATATTTTTGTTTAATTTAGTAATGGGAGATAGCTGTTAATAAATATTGGTACTTATAAGAACCTTTGCAAAATGGTTTGTTATACTAAAAAGGTTAATGAAGTTATTTATAGGAGTTATGGCATTGCAGCTTCATCATGTCTAGTTTTCAGTGCTATATGCAATCTATATGGAGTAATTTCTCTTTGTATTCCTTCATTTACATTGCCAGTATTAATTGAAAACAGTAGAATTGAACAATATTAGTATATTGTCGTAGAATTTGAAATTAGAGAGTCATATTCAGAATTCAGTCTTCACTGCTATCATTATAAGAGTGCAGTTCAGGCCAAAATGTTCATTTCTGGAAAGTGATTTTTGCAAATGAAAGTGAACCACAGTCTTTGCTAAATGAATTTTTCAAATAAATAGTTTTTAGTGAGGGAGTTACGCTATATTTTCTTGTAATTACTTGTGAATGCCCCTGCAGAGAAGAAATAATCAAAGAGTTTAAATGTGCTGTAATGACAATCAAAATGTCTAGCCATCTTTGGTGAGATGAGGTAAAGATGTTTCCCTGGTGAACACAGCAAGTCGTTTTGTTCAATAGCAAAAAATATCTTCAGCATAACTCCACAACTAAGCCATCTAACCTTCGTATACTACAGCAGACTAGCAGAGGATGTATCTCATTGATCATGCAAAGAATTGATCTGCTGCTTCTTGACCCAATGATTTTGGTTTACATTGTTAATTACTCTGCTTTTCATAACAATCCTTTTCTGATCCTTTGACGTGAACTTATTTCTCATAAGTTATTTAACAAACCAAAATTATGTGTCCTTGTAAAATGTTGTCATCTTGGATTTAGTGATCTTAAGCCCAGTGTTGACACTGGCTATCAATTGGCACATTGCTGTAATCACATTCACTAATTTTTACCAGTCTATATGAAAATATGAAGACCTGGCCGGGCATGATGGCTCACACCTGTAATCCCAGCACTTTGGGAGGCCGAGGCGGGTGGATCATGAGTTCAGGAGATCAAGACCATCCTGGCTAACATGGTGAAACCCCGTCTCTACTAAAAATGCAAAAAAATTAGCTGGGCGTGGTGGCGGGCGCCTGTAGTCCCAGCTACTCGGGAGGCTGAGGCAGGAGAATGGCGTGAACCCAGGAGGTGGAGCTTGCAGTGAGCCGAGATCACACCACTGCACTCCAGCCTGGGCAACAGAGCAAGACTTTGTCAAAAAATAAAAATAAAAATAAAAGAAAGAAAATATCCAGACCTGTCTCAACATATAAATACACAAGACCAGTTTGTGATATTGGGCCCATCATGGGTACTGTGTCCTAATATTATTTGGCTATGTCAAAATTCTCATTAAAACTATGAATGATGTGGCTTAAAGGGTGTTATGTATAAAACATTTAAGTAAAGAAAGCAGAAGAGAATAAGATACAATAGTGCTAAGTATTCCTGAAAACAAATGGAAAGAAAAAGTCATTTCTGGGAGTCAATACTGTACATTACATGCATATTGTGTGTATACACATACACACACATATGAAACATGTACACATATATATGTGTATATAAATGAAAAATGCTTGTATAATTCTGTCTGTATTATTTGACTTCTTGATGAGATTTAGGGAGGCTACTGAAAATTTAGGAAATAATTATTCTATTATTTTTTAAAAGGTTGGTTGTATTATGTAAATATATATAAAGTCTTAATGAAATGAGTCCTCTTGCTCACCTGTGAACTCTTTTTTGATGATCAGATACATGAGTATTTTTTTAAACACTGTTGACTTGAAAGTGAATGGATTACTTCAGCCAATGATGTCTTCTAACTTACCTGTATGTGCTATTAATCTCAAGCTACATGGTTGTGACAGACTGCTTAGTCTGCAAGTCTCAAAGTGATGATATCAAGTAAGATGCTTTAAACTGCAAATAACAGAAAACCACAATTCAAAATGGCTTAAACATAAGGATATTTTTAATGATGATGATGATAATAGCAAATGATTTACTGAATGGTTTTATATATGTGCATGTATATAAAACAATTTAATAAATGGTTTTATATACATGAATTAACTTCTTTATATATGTATATATATGAAATTTTTCATAAACTTATATATATATGTGTATGTATATATACACGAATTGACTTCTTTATATATAAAACCATGTATTGAATGGTAGGTATTGTTATTCTTCTCATGATAGATGAAGAAAATGAGGCACACACAGAGGAAGTATCTTGTCTTAGGCTATATACAGGCAGTAAGAGCAGAGCCAGGATTTAGACAAGGTTTTGTCAGCTCTAAAGCCTGAGTACTTAAGTACTGTACCCTACTGCTTCTTACATGACCAGAAATCCATAGGTTAGGTGGGCTGTAGATTCATCTCTCTGCTTTACCTTTTCTAATGTTGTCTTTACCCTAAGGCTTATTTCCCATGTGACTGCAAGATTGCCAGTGCACCGGTTAAATGTGTCTTTGTTTATATCCAGATAGAGAGGGGAAGACAGAGAGGAGGGCATTTTCCCTTAGATATGAAAATAAGACCTTCGTGTTCATCTGGTTATGCCAACTTTGGTAATATGCCTATCTCTGGACAAATAACTATCACCAGGGACACGTCAAGATCCCATTTGGAAGTACAGATGGGATGGATTCCTGAATAAAAGCGGAATTTTGTTTTGAAGAAAAAAGGGACTGCCTCAGTTAAATTAATATATTGAGGCTTTTCTGAATATCACATCAGTTTATAGAACAATTTGTTTTTTTCTTTTGCATACTTTATTACTTTATATTGGGAGAAAAAGATCTATAGTACCTAATTAATTCATTCAACAAATATTTCCTTTTTCTTTTCTATATTCTAGGGCATTCCTGGGATCCGTGGAAAGAAGGGTTTTAAGGGGAGACAGGTATCTTCATTTGTGTTTTTGAGGTTTATGTTAGAGCAATATAACCTGGTTATGTGTTCTTATCTATGAAAATATGAAGACACTTTTTACTGTTTGTTGTTTATAATCGTTCCATTTTAATTTTTACCTCTTGAATAGTGTATCAAATAATACCTGAGAATATAAAGGAAAATTTAGATTAAAAAATAACTCAACTTTGAACACTTCTAACCCTTTCACCATACCAGTGGGAAAAAACTTACCTCTATGGTAAGGAGCTAAAATGCCACAGAAAATACGTGAACAACTTAAAACACAAATGGTAGTACTATTCAACCAATTCTACATGACCAGATGTTGTAGAGGTTCAACCTCATATTCTAGAGATTTTTAAAATGCGTGCTTCAGCTGTTAATTCAGAGATTAGTTTGCTACAACTTCTTGTATTTTCAGATTAAAAAAATCCAGGAAAGTGAATTTTACTAGGTAATATAATAATTTCAGAGATGGCAGGGAATTGTGACACCATCCAGTACCCCATTGCTTAACAAATGAGAAAAATGTGGTCCAGAAAGGCATCCTGAGGTTCTCCTTGTTAATCTACTATAGTCCATGAAGATAAAAAGTGAGATTTTTCATAACAGCTTTTCTAAAATTTTGTGTGCTTGAATAAAATCTTAATGATAATACTAAAGGACTGCAGCTCTCACCAGAATGTTCAAATCATTTTGAAACATTTATCCTTCAAGCTTTGTAATACTCCTTGAAGGTAAAATAGAGTAAGTATTAATGTCACCATAATATAGGTGAGGAAAATAAAGCTTAGAGATGTTAAAAGGCTTGCTTAGATCAGATAGTTGAAAGTGGTAAAATCAGTAATTGAGCAAAGCTCCACAGAATCTAAATCTAGAATCCTTTTCCTTACTGCTTAGATATTTCTGCTTTGTCTTCTACTCACACTGCTTAGAAGAGGCATGAATTGTTTTTTTCATGACGTCTGGCCAAATTGAGATACAGTTATTTTAAAGTTTAAAGATTTTAATATATTAAGATAAACTTACCAAACTGTCAAGAAATACAAAATAAGCCAAACGTTTTGTTTCCCTGCAATTACATTGAACTTAAATGCTAATCTTATAATGGTTATAACAGTAGAAACTGCCATCACTATTGCTATTATCACCATTTTTAAGTTCTCAAGCACCGTAATAAGTATTTTGTATGCCATCTCATTTAACTATGCTCTGTTATACTTGAATACATTGGTGTGTTATTATTATTATTATTTTATTTTTACATTTTAGCTCTCATACACATATCCCAACAGAAAATGCCTTTCTATTTATTGGGCATCCAATTTCTAATCTAAAATTCTAAAGATTGACAATAGGTGGTTTGTTTTCTTTAGTCTTGTTTACTCTATTCTGTATCTTCAAATTTTCACCCTTCTCCCATCAATGTATGCTATTAATAAAAGAACCAAGAAAATCATTTGCCGTAATATATAAATTACTTCCAATGCTTAAAATGCTGCCTTACCCTTTGGCAATTATTTTAAGTATATTGAGTGTGAAGGCAGGGCGCGGTGGCTCACGCCTGTAATCTTTGCACTTTGGGAGGCTGAGGTGGGCGGATCTGTTGAGATCAGGTGTTCGAGACCAGCCTGGCCAACATGGCAAAACCCCATCTCTACTAAAAATACAAAAATTAGCTGGGTGTAGTGGCGGGTGCCTGTGATGCCAGCTACTCAGGAGGCTATGGCAGGAGAATCACTTGAACCCAGGAGGCAGAGGTTGCAGTGAGCTGAGATTGTGCCACTGCACTCCAGCCTGGGCGACAGAGTAAGACTCCATCTCAAAATAAATAAACAAATAAATAAATATTAAAAATAACATAGAGTCTTAAGACAAAATAACTAACCTGCAATGGTGGAATTTTAGACATTGATGAGCAAATTGAATATTTTCTCAAAGCCCTTATATGTATCACTTAGATAACCACCAATTATTTTTTTTTTTTTTCCACCAATTATTTCATTTGCTAATATTGCTGATCTCATGTAGACATCAACTTGATTTTAGTTTTGGCAATGTATAGGTAATTGCTAGTTTCCTACTATAATGAATTATGAAATTATCCAGAGACCTTTATAGACAACTTCTGGTTTTGTAATCCATAGGGAATTATAAAATTATCCAACCGGAGCCTATTGAATTGAAAAAGGGAGTTTAAGAAAACAGTGGAAAAGTAGTGAATGAAATGATTATGGGGCTCTTGTTTGATTGCACTCTTCTTTTTATTATAAAATTTGCAAAGCTTTATTGCTTTTAAAATATATGCATATGTAATAGATTTAGATCTTTTGAAAAATTGTATTTGAAAAACATACATTCATTTTTTCTGACTAATGTTTATTTTAAAGTCTGTCTTGTATGGTATATATTATGTATGCTATATGTACTTTTTTTTATCATTTTTACCACAAAATGATTTGTCTATATTTATAAGGAAAATATGAATACTTAGAATAAAATACAGTTACAGCCACATGTCAACTTATGGCAAGGCTCACCTCAGAGACTGTCCCAGAATATATTATCCTATGTATAAATGCCCCCCTTATTCTTTCTGTTTATTATAAATAAAATCATCTTCAAAAGATATTATGCACCATAGGATTCTTGTATTTCAATTCAGATGATTAAAATTCCATGAGAAACATGGTCATTTATTACTGTTTTAATAACAGTAAAAGGAAAAGATCTTTTGATAAGCTGTCCACTCTCCTTGATGTAGAAAATAGTAGGTGTGTAGAAGATGAATATGGTCATGTTCTCCTGGTAATTTGTTAAATTATGTTTACTATTAATTGTGAAATACAGAACAGAACTAAAAGATTCCAGGCTACTATGAAGTAGATGGATGACACCTATACCTTTGAGAGAATGTGATAGAAACCTGGAAATGCTGAAATCTGAACGTACCAGCATCTGAGAAACTTTTGGCTTTGGATGAGTCAAAAACCGTTTTAATTTTCTGCTGGTTTGAGAGCTATTTAGAAGTTTGGGCCGGGCACGGTGGTTCATGCCTGTAATCCCAGCGCTCTGGGAGGCCGAGGTGGGTGGATCATGAGATCAACAAATCGAGACCGTCTTGGCCAATATGGTGAAACCCCGTCTCTACTAAAAATACAAAAATTAGCTGGGTGTAGTGGCTTAACAAATGAGAAAAATGTGGTCCAGAAAGGCTTAGGCAGAAGAATTACTTGAACCCAGGAGGCGGAGGTTGCAGTGAGCCAAGATTGTGCCACTGCACTCCAGCCTGGCAACAGAGTGAGACTCCGTCTCAAAAAAAAAAAAGGAAGGAGAAGTTTGGATTGATGTTTCATTGTAGTACTGCTGTGTAGATATGATATCATTTCATTTACTATCATTAGGTAGAATCGTATTAGAAGATGTACTTTATCACAACTATTACCCTTAAGTTTTTAAATTCATATTTCTGGTTTTTTCTAACCTTTTTATTTTTAATTTTTGTGGGTACATAGAAGGTGTATGTAATTATGAGTTTCATGATATGTTTTGATTTCTGGGTTTTAAATGAGCTGGTTTCCTTAAATTTTAGGTAGAGCAATACAGTTAGTCTTATGAGCATGGAGTGTGATTCAGTTTTAAATAGTTACAACATATGATTTATAGAACAATAGTAGCTATTTTTAGAGAAATCTATGAAGTTTTATTAGCATTTTATACTTATATTTTTTAAGACTCTGAATTTAAGCCCAGAAATTAGTAAATTACTTCACTTTCTGTTTTATGTATTACATGAAACAGTCTGACAGTCAATACGGTGAAAGCAATAGCCATAAAAATCTTCAAAATCTCAGTTCAGGTCTTTCTACCTATTGATCAGAATAAGTTTCTTTGGACTATTGAATTGGATTCTCAGCTGTGTAGTAAAGCTTCATGTTTCATATGGAATCGTTTGCAAAAATAGTAATCATATTATATATACATATAGCATGGAAATGAAGTAAAAGTCTTGTCTAAAATTGTCCAACGAGTTAGTAACGTTACTAATTTTACATTTGGGAAGATGTTGCTATAAATCACGTGCTCATACTGCTAGCCAAATGATCACTTATTTCTCTGAGTAAACACAAAGCGTGGAATTAAGTTGTCGTGAATGAGCTTAGTGGTGTCTGTGTTTAATGAACTTATAGATTTACAAATAAGAGCTATCTTCTCTTAGACAGTATAAATATTTTATGAATGCAATTGAAATGGACACATTTTATAATAGCATATTATTTTGGTTATTCAAGAGGTAATTATTTTTTAAAAAGAGAAAAGTATTTATTATTTAGCCTCATAATGGTATGTTTAAATTTAACATTTGTGTTTATTTCCACTTAAATCTTATTTCCCAGAAAGTTCTTTTTTCCCAAAATGAAATGTTATGTTTATTAGATTTAATTGCTATTTGTAACACACTTCTTTCTTCAGTAAGGACCATTAGTTTGAAATGGGAAAACTGTTTTTGTTAGGCATTTGGTATATTTTAGAACCAAAGATTATTTAAAAATAGTTATATTAACAAATTCACTTGTTCCTTGGTCTTATATTGTTGGCATTTGAAATGTTTTTTTATTCCTTGTATTTTAAGCCGTTTTTGATTTCAGGATTTTAGCATAAGTACTTGCTAATCACAACAATTATTTTTAAAGACCTCCTGTAATCACAGTTATTATTAGTCAATGTATGTCCTCATGCTTTTGGATAGTGATGTGTAGTTCTGACCTCTTCCTCTCCTTCCCTCCTGCACTCCCTACATGTCACAATTGGATCAAAACCCTTAATGTTAATTAATATTAGAGAATACCCTGAGGCTGTCTGTGCCTTCAATAAAACTAACCGTTGAAGATAGAGAAGCCCAAGAGTCTATAATTGTCTCATCCTTTTGCTCTCTATCTGTGGATATTTGAGTTCAACTCAAGTTCATTCTCTGAAGATTTCAGGAAA